ATTTGCCTGGACGCTGCCTTTGATTGCAGCCGATTTGCAGAAAATTATCAAAAAAATGTCCAACCTTATGATGCAGCGACAGCCGCGATGAGACGGAGTGGATGTACACGCATTCCAGATGGTGGACGTAATGCGGATTTTTGTGGTGTCGTTGGCATAGTTGACATCTCTCCGACATCGCTCAAAGATGGAGCACTTGAACAAATTGAGCTCGTTTCCATATCGCTATTGGCTTCCACTGATGAACCACTACTCATTGAGCTGGAGTCGGATTGCGAGCTGAAGGCCTGGAAAAAGAAACGAATGAGAATGAACATAGAGTTGAGTGCAGAGGGATTCAGTGGTGTATGATAGCAGGGCCCTTGACTGAGTAACTGTCCAAATCCCGCTGCAAAAGATCATTTCTAAAGCGAGAAAATTGCTCCGGAAAGTGGAAGCGGCCAAGGTAGCTCCGCCCACCAACATGGGTGGTCTGAATGTGATGTGTGCTGAACTGGACACTAGTAAGAAGCTAATTATGTGGAATCTCTCCATCATAAAAACGGCATTTTGACATTCCTAGCTACTAGAACCCCAACAGCACACGTTACTTTCGGACCACCCACGTTGATGGGCGGGACGGACCTGCCCGGGGTTACTTTCTACAGCGATTTTTTCGCTTCGGAAATCGTCTATTGAGGAGAAACTTGAGCAATTACTTAATCAGAGTTCCCGCTATTGTACAGCACTCCAGGAATCTCAAGCTTACCTCATAGATCCATTCAGTAGGTGGAAGTGGTATAGCGCGAGCTGTTGGCGAGTCGCTGAACTTTGAACCAGCATAGCATGAATTAGCACCAATCTTAGCATTGAATGAGATCGGACGACGGGCTTGACGCCGGGCAACCTAGAAAACAGAAAATTCATCTCACCTTCTACTCAAAACACTAAAAACCTTACCTCCTGTCTACCTTTCGGCGTTGCCGGAGCAGACATCGTTGCAGGACCCGGTGAGCCAAATAAAGCTACATTATGTTGCTGTTGCTGGCGATGATGATGATTATGATGACGATGCGCACGGGGTACACTTGCTGATGACATATTCATTGTTGACTTGTTGCAATTTTGATAACCGGGTTTGGAATACTGGTATGATGAGATGATCTGAGAAGGCGCGGCGTCTTCTACGCGATATTACCTGTAAAGAACGTGGATTAAGTATAAATACTGAAAATTTCATTTGAAAAAGTAGTGATTTGTTTCCCAAAAAGTTGAAATTTAGCCAAAGTTGTGGAAGCAAAAGGGGTAGGTTCAAAGCGGTAGAAATGACGGAGGGTAGGGGACTATATGTCGCCGGAAGTGGTGGACATCTGCAACAAATACACATTCCAGTACAAGCACAAGGTGAGTATCCGCTGCATTGTCCACGCGGGACCCTCTCACTTTTGGCGACATATAGTCCTCCACCCAATAATGGACTATGTCGCCGCAAGGAGAGGTCCCGCGGATATGCAACAAATGCGCACCTCTAACATGCAAAAGGCGCGCATTTGTTACAGTAGTCCGCGTAGGACCTCCCTTTCGGCGACATATAGTCCTGCCAATTCAACCATAACCATCTCATGATAAATCGCGCAACGGATAAACGCAACCGAGAATCAAGGTGACAAATAAGCGACGATGAAACACGTGCTATACACCACGTCACCCCTCCCATCCTATCATTCCCCCTACACTAAAACGGGCCATATTATTTGCAAGAAAAGTTATTACCATCGACAACGATATTACTTTCCGAAAAAAAAAACAACGTTAGCTCTACGACGCTTTTTGGACAACAATTTGAATGACCAGCCATTTCATCGCCAAGCTATATTTACTGAATTATAATGCCATTATTAACAATGAAAAAACACTCCATATCGGGCATTTCCACATGACACTTCGTGTCCACATGAGCATTACGAAATCTATGCTTATGATATTAAGCATAAAAAAGCACATTCGTATGCGTAAGCGTGTTTTCGACATAACGGACGATCTCGTGAGAAGGGAACGACCAATTATACGCGATGCTACTGTATTATACGACATTTTACGACCACGTGCATTCGTATAAAACATCAGCACAGCATTATGCATAAAATTAGCTTTCTCCAGTAGATGGTGTATGTTTCGTGCAAAAAAAGCAAGTATCTCGTCTCGGCAATACTTCACAAATAATTTTTTTCAAAATGTTGCTGAACGGGGTAAGGGGCACA